AGGGAAAGATGGACGAGCAGATGTGGTTTCATTCCTCAGGCTAAAGTCAAACAGATGAAATTCATATCATATAGACTGGTGTGTTCCACCTTGATGATGGAAGACACTCCAGGTTGTGTTTTTTTATATGCTCAGGTAATTTGACTCCCTCACGAATGTAGACTAGAAAATTTGATATTGATTTCACAGGTGCACACGGCTGCCTGAAGCATTATTCAGCTTTTTTAATGATGATGTATAGCAGCACTTCCCGAAACAGGATCAAGGAAACCCTGGGTCCAGGGGAAGCTGAGAAAAATGAGGATGGGTTCAATTTGACTGTATTATCACTCACTAGAAGGCCGCAGTGTAGTGCTGGCTTTTATTTTATTAGGTTTCACTGTCTTCACTGTTGTCTCCCCAAACACAATAAAAAACTCAAATGAGAATCCTTGAGATAAAGTTGTAGCATAATCATAAGAAAGTTTGAAATTTCCATCTCCTACAAAATAAAATGTGAGCAAACAGCCCCTCAAGTACAAATCCTGTGTAAAATAGAGTCTGCTGGTTGCCTGTCTGCAAAAATACACTTGTTTAATGAAGTTTAAAAAAAAAAACAGTCGAACAGTTTGAAATACGTTTATTCAATTTCTTGCCAAGAGTTAGATAAGAAGATCTACACCACTGTCATATCTGTTTTGTTAATATGTAGCCTGTAGCTCCACTTACTACAAAGACTGAAAACAGAGGAAAACCACCTGCCTGGAGATAATGCACATTCATTCTCCCACTATTCAGCATGAACATATGGAAAAACACGTCCATACTCTTATGTTTAGTCTATAGGTGGCTCGGTGTCTCCCAGTGGCTAGGTCAAACTTTAGGCTAGGCAGCTGGAGCACTCAAATGTTTTTTAATGATAAGGGAAACTGTGCAAGCTGAACTGTGTTGTCGGGTCGGGTTTGGACATTATATACTATAAGCTTGTCAGGTCCGGGTGAGGTTTGGACGCCACACTCTTTGACACAGCTCAGATTTGAACAGAAATATGTGATCTAGCAATAAAAAAGTGTTGGATAGATTTATAATCAATATTGGCTAAAAATAAACTAAGGAAGTAGATGAATTTAGACTAAAATTCAAGTTTGATGCCTGTATCATAGGAAGCTGTCCAAGATTATCAAAACAAAGTTAAACTATTTCATATGTTGAGATCATGTGTATTAAAGAAGCTCCGATGTAAACATCAGATTCTTCAAAAACATAGTATGCTAAGTTTTGACAATGTTATAAAGTTGTCATTCATAATAACAATAAACAGCTTCACCACCAATGTCATCTGACAACTGATCCAAAGATACTGTATGTAACAGGGAAGGAGTGATGACCAGAGGGGCAGCAAGTGGGAAGTGTAGAGTACAGTACATACGTTGCACTACGTACCGTATTCATATGCAATGATGTTAATCTATGTATGGCCACTGTTAAATAAACAAACAAATCAATCAATAGAGAGAGGATGATTTTCTCTACATGTAAGAATACAGAAGACTTCAGTCCTACTTCAACATAATCTGGTGCATGCATAATAATGTAGGTGCAGCACTGTGAAAATATACATTTGTGCATTAAAACATGAATGTGGCTTGCCAATGTTCAGGTTTACTCACTGTACAGAGTAATGCAAGTGGATTAATATCATTATTACATTTAGCTAAGAGGAATCTGATTTATTAATTTTGGCATCAGATTATTATGTAAACGGTGCACGTAGATGACTTAGCTCAAACTAATACAGGCTAATACAGTCCTGCAATAAATCTGCCCTTCATAAAGGTAATAATGTTGATGTTTTGTTGAAACTGTTTCAAAGAGGCACTTATTCAATAGTATGATCATTTTTGGAGAGTGTAGTTTGTACTTTTGAACTGCACTGGGTTAAAATAATATTCAGTTTTCCCTCATTGACATAACCATGGTGGACAGGATATTAGAAACATTTCTCAGTATAATGCAATACAGCTCAACAGCAGCCTCCAAAATGACCAGGAAACTGAATCAACCCTTCTCTAAAACAATTGAACATCATAACCTTCACAAAGGAAAGATTTATTGCGCCACTTCTGAACTGAGTGTATTTTTACCCATAAAACCTGTATGCTGATCAGCCACAACATTAAAACCACTGAGAGGTGAAGTGAATAACACGATTTTCTTGTTACAATGGCACCTGTCAAGGCGGGAAGGATCTGTAAGGCAGCAAGTGAACAGTCAGTTCTTAAAGTTGATGTGTTGGAAGCAGGAAAACTGGGCAAGCTACTGTTGTGTCACTAGTAGATATATGTTGGGAAGATACATAGGAAATTGTGTGCGTTGTCATTAATATTTGCCTGTGTGTGTCTTATCGTACCTAGCATACACCCTCTGGCCTCACACACAAACACACTTACACATTCTATATATAGTATGCAGTGCATCCTTAGCTCTGCTGTAGATACACATCAAATGTTTGGGCTAATCCTCTGCTATTAAATCCATTTGTCATGCTAATCTTTTCCAGAATCACAGTTTGTATGTGTGTTGTCTTGTACTCGCTACATACTCTTACCAACAAAGTTTATTTATTTACTTTTTTTGGTACAGAGTGAGGACATTTTGGCTGGTGAAGCACCTTTTTAGGGTAAAGAAGGTCAGAGTTAGGCATTTAGTTCTGATGGTTAAGGTTCGGGTAAGGGGCTAAGGAATGCATTTTGTCAATGAGTGTCCTCACAAAGATAGAAGTGCGTGTGTGTGTGTGTGTGTGTGGTCTAGTTTGTACTGTATATAGTTGTTAGGTCCATAAAACCCAGGAAGAGCAAAGCTGGGGGTGTCTGTCATTCAGAAAACCTGAAGCTAAAGGCTGGAAAATAAGCATAATTCATAAATGTAACCATGTTGTGTGTGTGTGTGTGCGTGTCTGTGTGTACTGTAGGTTTTCTCCACTGCATCATGCGGCTCTCAATGGCAACCTGGAGCTCATCTCTCTGCTGCTGGAGTCACAGGCTGCTGTTGATATCAGAGACCAAAAAGGTGAGAAGAGAATGTATACACACACACACACACACACACACAAAGAAAAGAAAAAGTGAGCTTTGCACACATCCTTTGTCACCCTCATACACATAGCTTAATAATATCTATGTCAGTATGTGTGAGAAATATCACCTGTGTGTTCATTCTGTGTGTGCAGGTATGCGGCCATTGCACTACGCAGCCTGGCAGGGGAGGGCAGAGCCTATGAAGCTGCTGCTGAAGTCTGGTTCATCTGTAAATGGCCAGTCAGATGAAGGACAGATTCCTCTTCACCTGTCAGCACAGCATGGTCACTATGATGTGGTGAGTGACACCAACTCTTCACCAAACACAGCCCTGTTGGAGTTTTAGACTGAATTACAGCATCCTTTAGTTGTCAAATAGCAGAATGGGCTTTCACAAAAACTGGAAACTGTCATTGTTGCCACTTTTAAAGCTGAAATAATCAATATTTTTATAATAACAATTGATAAAATGACAGAGTGTAATGGGAAAAGTTTTGTTTGAACTGAAGTGACTAACCCAAACAGATTTACTCAGTTTTACAGAGCTTTTTTTTTTTTAATCATCTTTCAGCTCATTGTTTTGGTTTTCCAGTTCACTCTTACCACTTTTCATGGTGTTGTTTTCAGCCACAGCAAGCAGGTGTTTTCACTGAAAAATATTTAAAAACCAACTGTGTCATACTGTACCTGCCCAGAAAGTTTAGCAAGTTAGCATGCAGCTGTTAAAGAGCCATATATTTCCTTAGCACTTGGTGAAGACAAAAACAGAGCTAACTGGAGGCACAAGTTGGATGTCCTGAAACAAATGAATCAAAATAGCGCTATATAAAACTTCAAAACATCACCATTCACCTATGTTGCAGTGGTGGTTGCTAGGAGCATCTGACTTAAAGTTTTTGACACTGATCAAATAAATATGTTAATTAAAGTTGTTATTGACATGACTGTATCTAGCTACCATAGATTACTGGATTGGCTTACTGGGCACAAGTCCAGGAGCCCAAAGGCTAAGGGGGTTCATAGAGCTATTCCAAAAAGACATGCAAAACAATCACAAAGAGACACAGAAATATCTGCAAAGAGATGCATAATATCCTCAAAGAGACACAAAATATCCACAAAGACACATTAAACAACAGCAAGGAGATGCAAAACATCTTTAAAAGATTCTCATTCATTCTTGGGGGCCTTTTAAAAGTCTGTGTCCAGATGCTCATTGTTTCATAATGCGTCCAAGTCTATGGAAGAAGCCTCCCCTATTCTTAAATTAAAGCTTCCTGCAAACCCACAGTCCACACAGGTGTGTCCCAATCAACATTTGCCCCTGATGGTTGGAGACATCAGTGTGAGTTGGCGCCACAGATGGCTGCCTCGGTTCTGTACCAAAAACAAATTCCTTGTGTGTGTAACATACTTGGCCAAATAAAGGTGATTATTATTATTATTATTATTAACATCTCTGCTGTGAAAAGGGCCTATCATCACAGCACAATCTCTTTGAGTTGCTGAATAAATCTGAGGGTTGGAAGTGATTGAGAGGTGTGGACTTTAACTTCACATTGTCATTTTTCACTTACATCGAAATTATTATCACGTTATTTCTACAACAAGCTTAAATTCCTAGATCACCAGTACATTACAAGCAACACTGCATATTGAACTGGTGAATACCAGATACTCTGTGTAGCTCTAATCTCTAACTGACTGTGGTCAGAAACAAACTGAAACACAAGCCTTAAAGAAATTTCCATTTTTTAGCTTTTCCAGCTAAAAAAAAAAAAAAATAAATCTGGGGGAGACGCTGCTGTGCTGCTGCAGGCTTGCCAAAGCAGCAACTATGAAATATAGCAGACTTACCACAGCAGCTAACGTACCCTAGAGGAAAGTGACACTCAGCATTCAGTGTCCAAAACTAAAGAACCACTGCTTCTTCTTAATTAAATGACCATGATTTATACAAGGTGATAAATTACAATTAAAACTTTATTCCACAGCTGCTCCCAGCGTACAAAGGCAAATAAATTACAAAAAGTCACAAAAAGTGAAACAGAACACAGTTTATAAAATAAATCATTAAACATCCAGCAAGGCAGGAGCAAAGCACAGGATGGATTTGAGAGACATTTGCTTTGAAAACAAGGATGGCGAGACAGTGGTTTTATTGGAGACAAGGGAATCGATTTTGGTGTATCATCCTAATTTGTTCCATTTTTAAGGTGCATTAGAAAACTGACAGCACAATGAACTAATTCCTCTGGTGAGGCCGATTCATCCTCATACGTCTTTTACCACTTCAACTTAGCTCTTCCTTTCACCTGACATATACAGTATAGTATAGTACTCCTCTGAGGCCATTTTATCAGCTTTTAATGTGTGTATATACACTTCACCTATTTACTGTAAGAATTTAGCCTGCTACTGTTCTCCTCATTACAGTGTGATTTATTTTAGCACAGACAGTCAAAGGTACCTACTTAACATGGCAAGAGGCTTAGAAATGTGAATTAAACAGATTTATTCTTCAGTGTTGTCAAAAAATACTTTTAGATGTTTTTCTACAAGTGTATTAATGTGTCCCTGCTAATGTATTTGCTTTTCTGATGACTTCTAGTGCTTTTACTTTTAACAGAGCATGACATGTAATAAAAATGTTTACTGAGAAAGCATGGCTGTTTAGTGTAATGTGTTTAACTGCCTGTGTAACTATGCACTGCATAATTAATTCTGGTAACCATTTCATTTTTTTGACATTTTTTGATGCAGTTGATTAACACTGTCACCTCATATATGTCACTATATCCAGCTGATTTTGTTTACAGCTGACTCATTTCTTCATGTTCTGTATAAGATGTACCAAATATCTGTTTGATATGTGATATTTTGCTTAATGACTCACCAGCTAATGGTCGTTGAAAAGATGGAAATTAAAGAAACAGCTAGAGTGTACAGATAGTAAGTCCTTGTAGTGTAGTGTAAGTTTTTTAACATAACCTGTAACCCCCAAAACAAGTTAGCTAATGACGAGCCTCATCCTGGGGAGTAATGCTAGCAACTAAGCTAATGCTAATGTTTGCAGATGGACATAAAGTTTAATTCATTCATTACATTTTACCTCTTGTGTTTTTGGTTTCAGAAAAACTTTAAAAAAGACACCATCTCATACATTTCACAAAATCTTACACTCTACTGAGTGTTTGAATTGTTTTATAGCAGTTTTTTCCCTCGTGTGCTTCTTGCCTTCAGTCTGAGATGCTGCTGCAGCACCAGTCCAATCCCTGTATCGTAGATAATGCAGGGAAAACACCTCTGGACCTGGCCTGTGAATTCGGCAGAGTTGGGGTAAGATTCAAGGCTTTTAGTCATTATTCAGAAACTGTGGAAACAAAGGCCAATCTAGAGGAATCCTCAGATTTGTTGTTTATGTCTCACATTTGCGTGTGTGTGTGTGTAGGTGGTCCAGTTGTTGCTGTCCAGTAACATGTGTGCTGCTTTGCTGGAGCCCAAAAAAGGAGACACCACTGACCCAAATGGGACATCTCCTCTTCACCTAGCTGCCAAGAACGGACACATAGACATCATCAGGTACACAGACACACACACACACACACACACACACACACAGTATGCACACTTCCACATCCAGATTCACACACACACAAGCTCAGACGTTTATCTTCCACACACACGCACACACACACACACACACACACACACACATCACATGTCTAACGAATCACTGGGTTGAAATGTCCTCCTGAGTCTGCCAATAAAACTAATGTATAATACAGAGGGACGACATGATGATATAATGGAACAAATGTGTTGCCACACAGTGAGAGCTGATGCATCAGTCACATAGTCCTAAACATGTTTTGGAGTCAGGTAACGTGACTGGAAACACTGCAAATCTGCACGATTCTCCACTGTCACACTAAATATCAAGACATTATAATCTCATCTCAGGAGGGTGTGTGTCTAATTTTTGTTTACGTTTTTGTAAAAGTGCATCACAGAAAAGATTATTTTTGTTTTTGGTCAGCATTCCTCACAAACCGTGGGGATGAGAAATCCCAGCAGATTGAGCACCCTGACAATTAAACACACACCACAAGGCCCATTTTTTACCTTGTTATCATGCTCAACCTTTAATGTTGTATGTATGTGTGTGTGTGTGTGTTGGTGCAGATGTCTGCTTGCCTGGCAGACGCAGACAGAAAGGCGAAGGGGTAGAGAGAGGCATTAAAGATGAGAGGAGACTGGAACTGAGGAGAGATAAGAGAGAGGAAGAGAGAGAACAAGCAGTGCAAGAATAAAGAGAGAGCGAGAATAAAGGCTGTCACAGGTGACAAAGCAGAGCACACCTTTGTGGAAGTGATGCTGATAAATGACATTCATTAGGCTCAGCCAGTATTTTGTGGAAGATATACAATGACACCCTTAGAGAAAAATTTAAACATTTTTGCAGCATTATTCTTGAACTACAACTAATCTTTTAACCTTATGTCTTTTCTCTGAAACTATCAATTAAATTACTGACAGTGACTACCATGAGAAGAGTAAAACCAGTTTGGCTCTGTGCAGCCAAAGCTTCACATACTGTAATGCATTCCTAATGCATTCAGTATATGTACTGTGATTAGCAGTGTTAGTAGCATTAGGTGACCAGGCCAATTAAAAAATAATATTATAGTTGCATGTCATCATATGAAGTTTCTACTTTGACAGAGATGAAGAGGAAGTGATTTGATATGAAGTTATATTCTGAAAACATCCCACCAAAGCAAAGCAGTCCCAGGTTTGATTGGAAGAGGATGTGGCAGTCATGGAAATGAACGAGAAAATATTTACTGCAGGTGACGTGACATCGTTGATTGCAACATAATAGCAGCAGATGTCAGAGTGAGAGAACTTTCCTAGCAACCACAGAACTGTTTAAGTTGCCTCACGAAAACATGTCACTCACACATCAGACTTCTCAAGGTGTCAGAGGACAAGCCTTGTTAATTGTGATTTTACTCATGTTGATTCAGTATAGTATATCATATATATACCACGGTTGTATTTTCATCAGCTGCTCTGATTCCTGTAAAGGACTTTAAAGCTCTGTTTGTCTGGATACTAGATTTTTGGTCCCTTCCTTGGCTGATGCACTTCCTGAGTTTGGCTGGATGGCTGGTCCAAGGAAAAGTCCTGATTGTTCCAAAGTTCATTTCACAGTGATGTAAACTCTTGTGCTTCAGGGAACAGTCAAGGCTTCAGATTCTGTACCCTTTTCCAACTCTGTGACTTGGCACAATTTGATTACAGAGGTTTGTTATTTGGACCTAACAGCTCGGTCCTTGGTCTGACAAACACTGGGAATTGTGGGACCTTATACACTGTACTCAGGTGCATGTCTTTATGACTTATGTCCACAGATAGACATGTCCTGCAACAATAGTAAAGGCAAACAAGATGGAACTGAGCTCAGTCTGGAATTTCACAGCAAAAAGTCTGACAACATAATGAGAGATTTGTTTTTTAATCTTTAATAAATTTGCTAAAATTTCTAGAAACATACTTTTGCTATTATGGGCGTTTGTGTTTAGACTAATGACCAAAAAGTTAAGAAAGTGCTTCTTTCTTCACTTTTCTGTTTTAGTACAGAATAAAGAGATGATCTGGGATTATAACAGAAATATTTTCAGTCTATTCCACTCTGCTTTTTGTGCTGCTTTAATATACCAACTCACCAAATGTGTCTTAATGTGCAGCTGAAAATATTCAGCACTATTCCTGTTTGTGTAACATTTGCACCCAGCTGTTTTAAGAAAATGCTGAAAGTTTTTAAGTGAAACCAGTGTATTTGTTACCAATTTTAAAGATGTACCTCTTGTGTTAGCATCAATAATTAGAGAGTATTGAGAGATGGACTAGTGTGTTTTGGTTTTGGTATATATGTGTATATATATATATATATACATACAGACATGTAGAATAAGACTCACTTGTATATCCGGTGCAGTGTACCATGGTTTCACTGTGTTTCTTTTCTCTCCCTCCATTTTGATTGTTTTCTACTTTTCCTGGTTGGCTCATTCTTCACATCCTCTTCTCTCTGCACCATGTCTGCATCTGTGTTTATTTTGACACCTCTCTTGACTTTCTCACCCTCTCCCCTCTTTTCACCATCTCCTTGCTCTATCATCTCTTATCACACTTCTTCCATATCCTCTCTGCCCCTGCCTGGATCAGACTGTTGATTCAGGCAGGTATCGACATCAACAGACAGACCAAAGCCGGCACTGCCCTGCATGAAGCTGCCCTCTGTGGCAAGACCGAGGCAGTGAGACTCCTGCTGGAAGTAAGTGGAACTTTACTGAGAACCTTATAGCACTGAGGCCACCTTGATTTGGATTCACTAAAGGACTATTCCAATTTAACTTAGACTTTCCAGCATATAGTAGTACAGTGTCTTCTGTATCATTTCATAGCCATGACAGTGCCAATTGCAAGGTGACATAAACAGTGAAGGAATTTCCTATTTGTATAAAATTACAATTAAATAAAAAATGTTTTTGTCAAAACAATAAGCCAATAGGCTAATAATAGATAATAATAAACAATAGCTTTCTGCATGCAATACATCCTAAGCTGGGGAGCCATGTTTATGACAAATCAGTGCAGACAACCAGGCTTTAACTACCACAAAGAAGAAAAGTTTCGGTTTTATTTCTGATTCAATATTTGATTGTCAGTTTATTTATAAATGCATTGCTAATGAGATTTTTAGTTGAATTTATATTTATTTCCTTTAAGTAATATAAAATTGTGGCACAGAAACGTGTGCTTTTCTGAGTTTAATCTGAGTTTGAGTTGTGTGTGTATGAGCAGGACTTTGTCACGCTAGTTTGGACGCCAGTCTTTGAACCTCCAGTGTATACTACAGTACATACCGAGAGTGAACTTTTCAGTAGGAAACACCTTGTATTTACATCAGCAATAAATATTTGAAATGGATATCAACTTAATTGAGTCCACAATATGAAAATATTGATAAGACTATAAAATTGTGTCTATGAATATGATTTGTCTTCTCTAAGATATGATGTATGTCACAAAAAGCCCCTATTTGCTCTAAAGTAGCAATAAAAATAAAGCTATAAAACATAAATGCAGAGTAGGTTTTTCTTCTCTCAGAGAATGCTCTTACTCTCCTGCTACTGTTTCCTTCAATGAACTTCTTCAATGAAAAACTACAGTTTTTCTTCTTTATGAAACTATTCTTAGATTTGGTTCTTTTTGAAACATTGAATGCATTAAATGTAGTGCAGTTCTGTTGCCTGTTTACAAAAAGCTCTTGGAAATCCCTCCATCCCCATGTGACAGAACTGAAGCACAGTTATGAAAAATAGTGCTTGAACTGCAAGAAAAACCCAGAGAGAAATGATGCAAATTACCCCATTTGTGCTGTTGACATTATGGGGTTTCTGAAAACAAGAGAGGCAATGGTTTAATGACTGTGTGTGTTCCAGCATGAGAAACTAGCTTTGTCATCTAGATCTTCAGCTGTGAGAGGGCATGAGTCTTTACCCAAAAGTCTCTCTGGACTGAATTCAGCCTGCTTCTGATTAAACAGATTTAAATGTAATATTGCTATTCAGCTTTCGGCTGTCTCGACTAAAAAAATAAGAGGCGGATGTAATTACTAGAACAGCTACAGGGAGTGAGCAAGCATGGATTATTTTCTGTTGACGTCATGGTTGAAAATTATCACATCCCTAAGGTGTTTAATTAGTATGGAGGGGCTCTGATTTATGAACTTTAAGTAACTGGATTCTGTGTGTTTTGATCTATCTTGTATAAATGCTGTAGCTATCCATGGTACAATGTAATGATTTGTGAGGCAATATAATAAAGAAAAGTGGGTTTTTTTGTTGTTGTAAACCTAAATTGAAAATCATCAGTAACTGGACCTACAAATAAGCCGTAGTCTCACCTGCATTCAGTTTCTGATTCCTCTCTTTATGTCTGCATGAAACAAACAAAAATAAAGGATTAAATTAAAAAGTCAGCATACCAATATAATCTTCTCTTCTACAGAGTGGTATCAATGCGACAGTGAGGAACACCTACAGCCAGACTGCACTGGATATTGTCTATCAGTTCACTGCAACACAAGCCAGCAGAGAGATCAAACAGCTGCTGAGGGGTAGGATGGATGGATCGATGGATGGTGGGATGCTGGGGAGTAGAGGGAATTAAAGCCAGAGACCCAGAGATAGGCATGCAAGAGGAAAAAGAAAGAGCCTATTTCTGTTAATAACAAAATGGACAAAGCGATGAAAGGAAAAGGTTTTGGAGAGTGTTAGCCTCAGTAGCTAGGTAAATAAATAAATAAATAATAGGTTTAACAAATAGGTAAATATTTTGGGAGACATGCTTATTCAGTTTCTTGCTGAGAATTAGATGAGAAGATTGATACCATTCCTGTTAGCTTAGCTTAGCACAATGACTGAAAACAGGAGGAAACTGCTATAGTACAGTACATTACCTAGCAGCATCTCTGAAGTGCTTTATGTTTGTTTAATTTGTACAAAAAAAAAGAAACTAACAGTGAAAGAAGAAGTAAAAATAATGTGTTTTTTTAAATATCTGTGAACAGGGAGGTGCTAGCTAGTGTATTTTCCTTTCTGCCCAGTTTTTGCACTAAGTGAAGCTAATCCACTGCTGGCTGAAGATCAGTAATTACCGTACAAATATAAAAATAGTATTAATCTTCTTATCTGTCTGTAAAAAGCAAATATACATATTTCCCAAAATGTCAAACTATCCTTTTAACCCATGCTTTTCAAACACAGAATATATGGAATGTGTCTGTTGCAAAGATACTGTACCATAATGGTGTTATTTAGAAAAGTGATTGTATAGCATTCTAGTTTGAAGATATTCTCTATAACTGGATACATGTTTTATTGTAGATATCGTGAATTACAGAGGACTTTACATTTACTGTAAAGTATCCTAGAATGTGTGCCTCTTTGTGTCTCAGACGCATCAGCAGCCCTTCAGGTTCGAGCTCTGAAAGATTACTGCAACAACTACGACCTGACCAGCCTCAATATCAAAGCAGGAGATGTTATTACGGTAACACACACACATACAATCTTTGTGAGGACACTCATTGACATAATGCATTCCCTAGCCCCATACCCTAACCTTAAGCATTAGAACTAAATGCATAATCCTAAACCTAATTCTAACCTGAACCCAGAACCGATCCTAGCCCTAAAAAAGGTGTTTCACAAAGTGAGGACTCATCAAAACGTCCTCACTCTCCAAAAATGTACTAACTCTGTAGCAAAATATATTTTTTTGGTTCTCACTATGTAGCAAGTACAAGAATACATTTTAATTTTAATAATGGCCTTATTATTTAGGTCACTTCTGAGCACAACCTTCAAAGTGTTGTGGCTTCAGATATGTATCACATATATTTTATGTTTTCTATCTTCTAAGATAACTGAATACTGAATATGTTTAGGATTTATATTGTTGACAAAACAAGCTTTTTAAATACCATAAATGGTTTTATACTTGTACAGTGCCTTTCTATGCTTTTACAGCACACTCAAAGCGCTTTCACATTATTCGGCCATTCACCCATTCGCACTCCCAAGCACTCACGCATTCACACGCCGGTGACATCACCGGGAGCAACTGGGGGTTCAGTGTCTTGCTCAAGGACACCTTGACATGTTGACTGGACAAGCTGGGAATCGAACTGCTAATCCTCCGGTTAGGAAACGACCCGCTCTACCTCCTGAGCCACAGCCGCCCCCAGCCTAATATATATATATTCCCATAGCCTAAGTCAATTTAGGCTATGGGAATATTTTTCACAATTTTCTGAGACTGTGTAGAGCTAATGATTAATCATTTAATCAGTAAATATGCAGAAAAATAAAGTCAAGGATCATCTTTAGCTGCAGCTCTGCATGCAGCTTGTGATGAGGGGTCACAGATAGACATGACTTCATATTGTGAGAGTCACACGCAAAAAAAGTTGGAAACTGCCTGAATAAATCACAGCCCGGCAGAGGGAGCTACAGGTGTGTTCCACTGTTGCAAATTCAAAGATGAGACAATACAGTCTAGCATTTGTACCTGGTCATCCCATAATAATCCCAGCAAAAGTGTGCTACACTCTCAAAGTGCTTGCATAAATGAATCACATAGAAGCTGGGTGGCTTACATAAAATATCATGGCCCTGATGACCAGTCTGTTTCTGTTTAGTGTTAGGAGATCATCTGAGAACTCTTGCTCCTTGTTTGGTGAGATTATTAATGAATATGCAAGAATGAGTGGTTTCCCACATTTACTACGAACATGTTTTACAGAAACAATTATTCACTTACTACATTGCAGTCTGCGCACCATTCATAAATTTATATGAGCATTTATGGAGCCTTTGGGTACTTTTTACAGTAACAAGGAGCCTAGCAGCGTCTCTGCGCCTGCTCTCTCAGGGTCTCTGAATGAACAATTTGGCTTTGCTGATTCACGTAAGGAATTTTAGATAACTCCATGTGCAGACATCTTTTTGTCTGTTTGACTGAAAAATATTTTTTACTTAGAGGGTAACTCATTAAAAAGAGGGTTCATTAACATTTTTCAGTAGCTTTTGGAAAACTATATAGCACATTTTCATACACAAAGGCAATTCAAAGTGCTTAACACAAGGCACACAAATGGATATAACAGAAACCGTTCACATTCACACCTGGAAGCTGCCCAACACAACCACAGACCGACCAGCTCCAGGGATTAAACTGGCAATTTTCTAGTCACAAGTTGGCTTCTTTAACCTTTGAGCAACCACTGCCCCCGAGGTTTATATGAGTCATGTGTCTGTGTAACTGAAACATGTCACCCTGACAGGTTTTGGAGCAGCATCCTGATGGACGCTGGAAAGGCTGTATTCATGACAACCGAACAGGAAATGATCGAGTGGGCTACTTCCCGTCCACCATGGTGGAGGTCATCAGCAAGCGCACAGGTGTGTGTGCACTCCTGTGTGTGTGCGTGTATGTGAGTGTGCACTGTAGTTTAAAATTGTGACCAAGCTCACTGGTCAGCACATCAGTCATGGGAACACAATATACTGCAAATATTTGGACCAAACACAGAAGAAAAACTTGGAGAAAGATAGAAGAAGAACAAGAAGGAGAAGCTGAAGAAGAGATTTCTGGCAAATCTCTAACACTATTAAGTTAAATAACAGTAGTTCCCAGAAAGCTTAGTCAACTTTTCTTGGGTGAATACAGGTTAGAATAAAAATCATATCAGAGTTGGTCACAGAGGCACCAAACACTGAGCTGTTGTTCCTGTATTACTGAAGCTGTAGGCTGTTTGTGAAGAGTTTTAGTGGCATTTTCACCAGCTCCTATTACAAATCTATATGAATGACAACAGCTTTTTTAGAAGTCCAGCTGCTAAGTAATGAGAACATAGACACTAAAATGTCCCCAGTTGTCTTTCAGTTCTTAGTGCTGCCGCTTAGCATTACCTCAAAGAGTAAAAACGAACCCATATTTATTTCCATGGATAAAAGGAGTTGTTTGACATTTTGAGGAAAAATACATGTTTTCTTTCAAGACGTAGATGAGAAGATTGATACCACTGTCATGTCTGGGTGGTAAATATGAAGCTGCAGGTGTTAGCTTACCTAAGCTCAAAACTGGAAGATGGCTAAATGAAGCACGGATGTGTGTGCATGTGTAGCTTTAAAAAATATATTACACAGTCCATCTAATTCACAACCGGATGTAAAATATTTTTTTCATTACATTTTACATGTATTAGATATTACATTTATATTATGTCACATCTAATTTAAGGTGCTGCTTTTATTCATAAGAAATAATGTAGATGTCATGCTATCAAAATTTTTTTTAATTTGTTTTAACTTATTTGTAACGTGTCTGATAGTGTGTTTCAGTTCTCAGTGCTAAAATACAAAAATGACAGCACACTAAAAACTTAAGATGTATTTAAAAAAATATAGCCAATGTTTCAACCCACCACTCTTCTTCAAGGCAAGTGAAATAAGTTGCTAGCAGCAAGCAAACATTTATGTGCTCACATGTCACACCTGAGAACAATCTATAATCAGTGACATCATCAGTAAATTCACACAGGTGTTTCTAAATTAGCAACATGGTTCATTTCTCAGTAGTCTCTTAGCATTGCTGAACAAGATAAGGTACATGAGATTAAAAGAGTTAGATATTTTGCAAATGTTAGATAAGACGGCTGACACTGATATCATGTCTGTATGCTAAATATGTAGCTGTAGCTAGGAGCATTTTTACCCCCAGCTTTGTGAGAAGCTAAGCTATCTGACTGCTATCATTAGCTTTATAGACCTGGTATTGATTTTTTTGTCTTGCTTGCACCAAGCAAGCCAGTCAGTATCTCCCAGAATGTCAAACTGTTTATACTGCAAACCTAAAATCAGATGTGCGCTAATAAAGTTAAGAACCTGCTAGAGATACTGGTTTAATTTTGGTGTTCTCTGTATGTTTTCATCATTTAGTAGGCAAGCAGATAAACTCCTAAAACCTCCCAACTCCATCTTAAAACAACACAATGAGCTATTAATCACTTTGTTGAGACCCACAGCACACATTTACATCCATCCCATAACTGCATAGCCACAAAGAGGCTCTGGTGTTTTTAACTGTGCATTGGTGTCTGTATGTAGGTCTGCTGTAGTTCAGTTTGTCCATCTGTCTCTCTGTAGTAATATGTCTGCGTGTCTCAGTCTATAATCTTGTCTCTCTGTGATTGTCCACTTCATCCCCTGTGACCGCAAAATTCTCACTTACCCCTGTCTTTCACATTATCTCTCCTTTCCCACGTTGGCCACATTTTCCCTCCTCATTCTCTCTTTTTATAACACCGCGTAGTCGATTTACTGCTGCGGAACCTGCTCTAGGGTTGAGAAAAATGCTGTTGTGGCTGCATCTATCTTCGTAGTGCATTATTATACAGCAGCTGTGGGTACAGTAAAAAAAAACCAGCTGGAGCGCTTCCACTTAGCTTGTATTGCCACACTGACTAATCACTGCTAGTGCATAGCTACACACCACGATTTGGGGGCTATGCCAGCTGTTCTAGCGAGGTTTCATTTACTCATCTGTTTTTCATTCATTTTTAATTATTATTCTTTGCCACCATTCCTCTCCAGTCAGTTTCTTCTACACTAACCATATTTCTTACATGCTCCTTTCCCCCCCACTAACATTACATGCAACCTTTTCAACCAAAATAGATGGCCACTTAAGACATTAACTAAATAGAAATATAACCAAACTGTTTTTCCTGCATTAACACACAGCAGTATACAGTACAGTATAAGGCAAAAGCCTGAACAGGGCTTTAGGTACAGCACTGTTATGAAAGCAGTGCTTTGGATAAATGTGAGTGTATTGTTGGACATTGAGTTGATTGTCTGAACTTAATTACAGGCTTTTGCATAAATTACCAAACTACACTGCTGTATGTTTTGTTGGAGCAAACATCACATATCTAATTGTATGAGAAAATGTTTCTGCTGAATAGTCAACAGCAGCATATTCAAATTGTATTAATGTATGGTGTCTCAAGATACATTCAAAAGGTTAGTCAGTCAGCACTAGAGCTGACTAGCTTAGCAACCTTCTGACTCTGGGTTGTGTTGCATTGCGTGGAGGAATGATGGACCACCAGAGGCTTGAGTTTAGTGCCATGCTGCCGCTTACTCTCTGGATAGGAGCCAAATATATGTAGTCTACAGAGTAAAGTACTCTATAGAGAGCCAAAGTGCTCTCAGTAGCATGCTACATTCGTTTCATTGCAATCTCTCATTCAGCATCTTGTTCTTCTGTTTCTCTGAAAAAGTGGAAAAGTGCTTCTGAGGTTTACTCTCCATACTCTACAAGTTATATAAGTTATTAAACAGTTAATTTGTTAGCATACAAAAAGCTGCTCCCATGAAAATATACCACTCTCTATAAAAGACTGATAAGTTAATAGCGCAGGAACTTGCTAACTATTATGTCTAGTGCACTGTTTCATATTATATAACCAATTTAATATTGTGAAATGTAACACATGCACTTATCACACTTTAAAGTAATATTTTAATAAGTCACGGCACTAGCGTGCTCATAAAAAGGACATTTTGACATGAATTTACTACATTTGTAGAGATGGCTGAGTTTACCTTCCTAGCTAATGTGTATCTCTCTACCAGCCGGCATTTAGCTGCTGAGACGGTGTTTGTGAGCCAGTAAACTTATACTACTAGGTATATGGCAGGTGGAATTACATACCACATACATAGTATTGTTATGCACACATTATATATAAAACACATTGACTTGGGCCACATCTTTTGCTTGACTGGACTAGAAGATTCAAACACGTTAAGAATGAAAAGGGCGCTCTTGATCTTGAGCGAATCCTTAACAGCCCCTTAGAGATTCTCTGCTTTCACCATCCATCATTTCTCTTTTCACCTCTCCATGCACTTCATTCCAGTGAAGCCAACATTTGTTTCTCCTCTTCCTTTCTCTGTCCTCCCACCTTTAATACAAGCCATGTCCTTCACTACCTTTGGTTTCTTTGTTTACTTTTGTAACTTCGACCTTTGTTTTTAATTTTCTTTTTCCCCTTTTCTTATGTGTAATTCTCTGTTTTGTCGTTTGTTTGTTACGTGGCGGTGGTTCACTTTTGGCTGGCTGTGTGTGTGTTTCAATGTGTCGTCACGGTGGGTGTTATCTAGGTTTGGCCAGCACAGTCATTTGCACTCAACAGTTTCAAAAGATACCGCTGGTTCCCCCGGCGACGCTTGCCCCTGCCAACGCGGTAGTCAACGGCAACGACACCACGTTCCATCAGATCCATATCCTGCCTCCACCGCCTCCTCCTCCACCACATTCCCATCAGCCACTGCTTCCACTTTTCACTTCCTTTGGCTATAACAGGTCGCCCGTGACAACCCCACAGGGAGACACACCCACTGCCCCAGGTACATGCCCCCTT